TTATTTCTTTTATAATTTTAAAGAAATCATAATTATTTAATAAAATTATTCAATTATGAAGATAAATTCAATAATAACTATGACCATATTTTACTCAAAATATTTTTCAGTGATAAATATCTTCCAATGATTAATAATAAATATCACATGCAACGCACATGCATATTACTAGTAGTAATAAAAAATGGGAATGGCCATCATTATTATGTCACTTAGGTATCGCTCCAACAAAATTCCAACAATATTAGGACCATGCACTCTATTATGTTACTCTCATGTACTCATCTTACTTAAAAAAAAATCAATAGAGCAATGAAATTTACAATATCATACAAGGGAAAGCTTCTATGTTCCCCTACAATATAGAAGTTCTATCCTCCCCCTACCATCCAGCCGTCTATTTTTTTATCAAGACAGCTACTCACTGTTTGTTCTTAGATCTAACGTCTCAAAATATTTTATTTTTCATTTTTTTAATACAAATTTTCTGAATATGAAATTTGGTATGTATCATCTTCTCATTGGGGCGCACCTATAAAAAATATTAACAATAATTTTCGATAAAAAATAATAACCAAAATACCCCTTGAAATTTTCACAGGTATTTTGGTCATTTTATTTTATTGAAAATATTTTTTTTATATTTTTCATTAGTGCGAGTTTAATAGAATAATGGACATCCAAAATTTGGAGTCAAAATAGTTTATAGAAAAAAATTAAAAATAAAATAGTGTAGAGACGTGACATTGTGATTGGGGCAATCTTAGCCCTCCATTAAAAAATGGACGGTTGGATAAGGGGGAGGATAGAATTTCTATGTTGTAGGGAGAATATAGAAAGCTTTCCCATCATACAAATAGTATTTTAAAACCGGAATTCAATTTTGGATCGCCTACCTATTGTATCGGTGCGGATCAGCTAGATCAACAATCCTGATCAGCTGGACCAATAAAATATTGGTAAAAGCAAAACAATGAGTAAAAAAAATACTAGCAATCCCAAGAGGGTCCTGAATGGTCCACTGATAGAATCTGATCTGGATTAACAATTCCCAAGCCAAATAGCTTGGTTGTACACCCACATACAAATTTCATAAACATAATGATGTTAGTCCCAATAAAATAAATATATAAAAAAATTAATAAGCGACTATATGTCTTTAAATCACATGAGGGACTTGAGATTTCATATCAAATCCTATAGACCAAGTCATCCAGTGACTGGCAACCTTGAGAGTCATCTTTGGTGAATCTTATTCACCTTCCATCTCACTTTTTCTATCATTTTCTCTATCTTTTCTGAAGGGGTTAACCTCCTTTTGTAGAAAACACATTTATTTTGTAACTCTCACATTCATGGCCTATAGGAGTTGAGATCTAAGTGTAACTCCTGCTTTAATTTCCATAAGTGCAACAATTAAGATTAACATGTTGTCATTAAACTGTTAATCCTATGTAATGAGCTAAACCTATCATTAATCCACTAATGACATATAATAGGATGTCATCCAAGGATTCCCACAATTTGATAAAAGATATTTAGAAATTAAATAAACTTTGTATATCTATAATATAAAACAAATTCATACAAAGAATCCAAACTCACCAATGAGTTTTTTCTCCAGTGACACTAGGTTTTCTCTCCATTGCAACATCCTATTAAAGCTAAAAAATAGATCCAACTATATGGCATTGCCTCATGTTAACCACATGAAATTTCACATAAACTTCAATATGGCTTTTGTACCATTATTGAAAAATAAATTTCCAAAAAAAAATACCTTGATAGGCCACATTTCCAACAAATAATTCCTCTCAAATGGATTGTCCATCATTCAAATGTTGGAAGAAAATAGGAACAAATTGACAGTCATCAGCAGTCAATAAATATCAAGAAATCAAATGAACTTTATGGAAATCATTCTTACATCTTCATTTAAATAAGAGAGCAGGCATACAAATACAGCAAAAGTACTCAAATATCATAATCTGCCAGTTTCAAGATAGCCTCTACTCAATATTTCCATGAACTCAACTCATTAAAGCCAAAGATGTGAAGCCATTGTTGTAATACTTTCTTCAACCTTTTCAAAGTTTTCATAATGCAACTATGTTGAGAAATTCAACTTGGGTAGACTAGAATTTCAATTAAAGAACTCATGTGCAGAAAAAGAGAAGAAAAAACCCTTGGGAAAGAACAAGAGAAGAAGCTAACATCAGAAAGTCATATTCACACCCAAAATAAAAAAAGGCATAAGGAAGTCATAGGAAAGAAATGAACATCTTTATTTGTCATGGGGATGTGCATTTTGTCCAAAAGCATGTTCAATGTGCAATCAAAAGCAAACATCATGTGGTCATAAATTTTCAGACTTTTCATATATACATCTTAGAGAGATTGAACAAAATTATATTGGAAACAATGAATAATCTAAGGACACGGTTTCTCTTGGTCCATGCAGAAATGAGTCACCTCTTAAAAATCTATTTTTGAGATGGATTTTTGGACTTGGTTTTTAATGACGTGTAATCTCTAACATAGAGATCATGCAATGAAAATTAAATAAATTTTAAAAATTAAAAATAATAATCATATTAAAAAAACATTTGGATTGTTAGTTTCAATTGTTTTTAGATGGACCACCTATTTGCATCCATCTTTAAAATTGATGCTTTATAACTCGAGGACCACAAATGTAGAAATGAAGTTCCCGCCGCATGAAACAATTTGCTATAATCTAAAGGGCGTGGTTTGTATAAGGATGAGGCACTAAACAATCAATGTCAGACACAGCTTCAAATAGTGCCGAAATATATTGTTTCAGTATCTGAAATGTTCGTGATAGCTTGAAATTTTATTTTTATATCTAATTATAAAATTTAAAGGTTAAAAAAGACTATAAACCGAGCAGATCCATCAACACTTGAAAATTTTGAAAATTAACGATGTAGATAATATATTACAATATGCACTATTTTCAAGACTTGAAATCTATGTTTTACAAGATTTACTATTTCAAGACTAGAAACCTTTTTTTTTCTCGTGTCCATATATCTTGAGATCGAGATGATCAAATTGAGGGTTTTTTAGCATCGAAACAACCTTTCCTAGAGAAATTTTTGAAGGGCGGCCTCACCCTTATATAAACTTTTTCCTAATCTTAACACTGTACTTTCAAATTCCAAAAAAGAAAATTGTTTCATGCGGGCTGGACCACATGACTACATATGTGGACCAAAAAGTGTAAAGCATCCATTTTAAAGATGGATGCAAGTAGGTGTTCCATCTAAAAACAATGGAAACTAACGGCCCAAATTTTTTCTTACTAGAATTATTATTTTTAGTTGTTTAAATTTACTTATTTTTCATATTTATGATCTCCAAGTTATAGATTACATGTCCTTCAAATTTAAGTCCAAAAATACATTTATTAATAGGCCCTCATTTCTACATATGTCTTCTAAAAAATATTGAACTTCAAATTTTTGTGATAAAAACTATAAACATGAGAAGCCAAAATAATTGTTAGCTTTGTGTATGAATATAAAGACTAAGAAAATAATAACAATAATTCAATAATAAAAATTAACCAATTACCCTTACAAAATTTAGGTGTATTATTAATATTTTAATTATTTTAAATTATTTTTTATGCTTTTTAGCTGACCCAATCAATTGGTTAAAAGCTAAAATTATGATATTTTTTTGTGCTTTTTACATCCACATGTTGGTAAGAAGTATAGACGTTGTATAATCATGACTATGAGACCTGTAGATCCCCAGAATTTTAGACTAATAGATAAAAAAAAAGATTAATATGAGGGAAAAGTTTATATAAGGTTGTAACCTTTAAATGTAGAATCACATATGCACCTCAAAAATCTATCGGAAAATGTTGTTTTAATGTTTAAAAAAACCTCTAGTTGATCATCTCGACTTTGAGATGTATGAATATGAAAAAAAAAAAGAAAGTTTGAGTCCCGAAAATAGTGCATCTTACAACACATTATCTAGACCGTTCATTTTCAAGATTTTCATATATTTATAGATCTACTTGATTTTAACCAGTTTTGGAATTTAAAATTTTATAATTCGGTATGAAAATAGATTTTAAGATAATATTAAAAAAATTTTAGAACAAAATTATATGTTATGATAAAATTTTAAGATGCGCCTTAATGGGATTGTTTAAGGTTGCAACCTTATAAAAATTGCACCCTTAATATAATATATGCTCTCATAAAATAGGTCTGGAGTGTAAAATCTGTAATATACAACACTTTTTAAAATTTACCATAAAAAGAATTATTTGCAAATTTTCCAAAAGGATAATGTATTTTACCTTTGAAAACAAAACTTGGCTCATTATATAAAGGAAAAATGTATATAATGTTTCAACTTTAAAATGTAGAATTACAAATGCATCTAAAAAATTCATCGAAAAAAGTTGTTTTAATGTTAAAAAATCATCAATTGATCATCTCGATATCAAAATGTATGAAAGTAAAAAAATAAAATAAATTTTTTTTTTTTGAGTCCCAAAAATAGTTCATCTTACATCACATTATCTAGACCGTCAATTTTCAAGATTTTCATATGTTTATAGATATACTTGATTTTAACTATTTTTGGAGTTTAAATTTATAATTAAAAAAAATAAAATAGAATTTCAGATAATCTTAAAAAAATTTAAATCAAAATTAACAAATTTTTTTTTTGGAGGTCCGCCTTAATTGGATTGTTTAAGGTTGTAACCTTACAAAACCACACCCTTATAGAAAAACAGAAGTCATCTGCTCCTTCGCTGCTGCCGCCTTACAATTATCCAACGGTGATCTATTCATCTCACTTCGCACGCACCAAATCCAGGTCGTTTGATTGTTTCTCCGTACACCTCTCCTCTTATCCCCACCGTTCATTCATATTCCTATCGGACGGCGAAGCCAACCCCACCGCTCTCGTATAAATCAACAGATTGTGTCTTATTATAATTTGCAGAGGCCATGGGGAAAGTTTTCCTCTAGATCCCCTGTAAATAATTGTCTAAACTCTAAAGGTAAATTTGCAAACCCTAACTTTCTTAATTTTTAGGGTTTTTTTTTCTGTAGATTTTTATTCGTTGACTAACTGTTTTCCTAGGGTTTCTCTGGTTTTCCTGTTCGTTGGACTTGAATTCTAGGTTTTTGAAGTTGATCTCCATATATAGGTTTTTTTTTGTTAGTTTTTCCCATTCTTGAACTGGGTTCTTTGTGATTTCGAGCACTGTTCCCCCCTATTTTTACTGAATTGATCTGTTTAAATTTAGGATCATACAAAAGTTAACATTCTCAAAAAAAAAGAAACAAGAAAAAAAAGGGATCATAGGATAGACGCTATTTTTTGGGTTTCCCATTCCAATTTAGGGTATAAATTTATAGTTTCTTCTCGGCAGGTATTTCCCTTTCCTGTTTAATGAAGGCCCCTTTTTTGTTTCTTATTTGACTGATTCCCTTGTTAGGCTTGATTCTGGGGTTTGTTTTAGTTATTTTCTATTTCAATTTGATTCTAGGGTTTCTAAAAGTTCATTTCCCTAAAAATTTAGACTTTTGGGTTGATTTTCCTTCTGGGTTTAGTTCTAGGGTTCATTCCGAAGTATTATTCTGTGTTTCGTATCATTTTATGGCATATGAATGCCATGGGTCACTGGACCAAAACTTATATTTTTCAGAGGATAACAACTGGAATGAAGAAAGGTCCACAACCTGTGACACGCCTCACATCCCCTTTTGTCTCTCTAACATTTCCACAAGGAAAGAAAACCCAAATTCATCTCCTCTGAGTACCTCTCAATCTCATCAACCCAAGAGGGAAATCTCAATAAAGAAGCCATTTAAAGATTCTGCAAGTTTATGCCCAACATCCATTACTAGTCTCCGATCCATAACTGATCTCCCACCTGCTCTTATATCGGAAATTCTCCATCACTTAGATCCAAGAGAATTGGGTATTGTTTCCTGTGTCTCCACACTCTTTAGGAAGTTTGCTTCCGACCACCATGGTTGGAAGGATTACTATTGTGAGAGATGGGGCTTACCCATGTCACCTTCTAAAGCCTCAGAACCCGAGATTATATGGAAAGAGCTCTATGTTGAGAGAGAAAAGAGGAGCAAAACCTTCATGGGAAGATACGAAGCGGACATGCTTTGTGGCCACACTGAAGCTGTTCGCTCAGTGTTTCTTTTGGCCTCTGCAAATATTATAATAACAGGAGGTTATGATTCGGTGGTAAGGCTATGGAGCATGGAGGAATGTTGCTCTCTTGCTCATTCTAGGCATTTTGGTTGCACCCTACGAGCCATTGTTGCAGATGATGAGCTTTTAGTAGTGGGGGGAACTGATGCATTTCTCCTTTGTTGGAGAACCATTCCGGGTCTCCCACATTTGTTCGATGTGTCTGGATTAATGAACCAGAGCACTGAGTTTCGATTGTGGGAACATGGAGGACCGATTAGCTGTTTGGCCATGGATTTGACAAGAATTTACAGTGGGTCTTGGGATATGACTGTTCGAGTTTGGGATCGATCCACCTTCAAATGCTCGAAGATTTTGAGGCATGCAGATTGGGTTTTCGATGTAGTTCTTCGAGGACCATCCTTAGCTACTGTAGCAGGAAGTGATTTGTATATATGGAATATCAGTAATGGGAAACAACTTGAAGTAATTTCGAATATTCACAATGGAATTGCATATTCTTTAGCACAAAGCCTTTCAGGTTCTCTTCTGTTCAGTGGAGGTGAAGATGGATCAATCCACATGTTTGAGGTTCAAACACAAATGGATCATGGTGGCCTTTGCCTAGATTGTTATGTTAAGAAGGGGGCATCTTGGATTCCTCACAATGGTGCAGTTCGGTCTCTCTCTTTTGAGTTTCCATGGCTTGTTTCTTGCTCTGATGATGGGAAGCTCGCTTTAATGGATGTTCGAAAGCTGCTTAAGTCAAGTAGAGGTTCATCTTTTCTTCACTCTAAGTCTACTAGTGTGGAGCCCCCGCAAAGAATGCTTCATGGGTCTGCCCAAAATCTCTTCTCTGTGGCTATTGGGGCTGATAGAATTGTTTGTGGGGGTGAGGAAAATAATGTTAGGGTTTGGAACTTTAGCCAGGCTTTGGAGAATGAAAAAAGGATGAAAAAACGTAGAGCGCTAATTGCATCAGGCAAGAGGAATATCAAAATTGAACAGTGTTCTATAGAGGCCAAAAGAGATGGAATGGAAAGGAATCGCGGCACTGTTTGGTGCAGGCGTGGCACAAGCAGTAAGTTGAAGGCCTAGTTTTTTCTTATTCTTTTTTTTTTTTTTTCTTTTCTTGGATTTAAAGTGCCTTGTCCCAAAGTATGGGTCTACCAATTGAAAAAGAAAAGAAAAAAAGGTGCAGAAAAATGTAGTTATTTGTATGTGTTATGGAAGGGGTACATGATGGTATGTAGTAGTTATGTAAACTTGAGAACTGATCTGAAATGTTTAAATTTATTTACAACAGCATTGGTAGTAGTTCAACATTTTGTACTTTATGTGCTGAGGCTTATTCATATTTTTGTTTATTAAACTTCTATCATTACTCAGATGCATTTGGGTTCTACTGTGTAGTCAAAGCTTGCATGATATGTATTTTTTTATCAAATGATAACTTTTAAAAGAAGTTCATATTCTTTTGTCATGGCATTGTTGGAAATTGAGTTCAGCTTGTATGTTATGTGCTGATGTTTGATTATAATTTTTGTGTTTCCATTTTATATTTGCATTTTTTTTTTTATTCATTTATGTGTTTAGTTAACTGCTCTGTTTTAAAGCTCGTTTGGGTTACTTTAGTCTTACTCTGGTATTGAAAATCTCTTTGAACTTGGAAATAGAATTGAAATTGTTTAGAATTTATATGCTATACTCCATCCATCATTAGTTCTACTGGACTCTGATAAAAAACCATATGAAAGCAAACACTGAAGCAATTTTCTTACAGTGTGACCTTACTTTTTATGATATTGCACATGTACATTTACTTCTTTAATTTTGATAATTCATTCGATGTAAGTCCACTAGCATGAGAGAGAGAGAGAGAGAGAGAGAGAGAGAATGGGTGTGTGTATATGTCAGAGAGACAGAGACTAGAAATGGCTCAGCTTATGATTTTATTTTAGAAAGGTAAATTGATCGATTTCCAATGATCGTTTAAAACCATCTGTGAGAGAGAGAGAGAGAGAGAGAGAGAGTAGAAATCGCTGAGTCTTATGATTTTCTTTTACAAAGTTAAATTGGTCGATTCCCAATGATTGTTTAAAACCATCTTATACTGGATTCAGGTAGAAACTAAACTTTAGAATTCCATAATATTCCAAAGCATATGTTTTCGAACTGCATTCATCAGAGTGGGATTTTCTTCAAATTTCAAAGCCATGATGACCTCTCCCTCATTTCCCAAAAATGTTAAAAGTATGCTACAAGTCTAAGTCAAAACCAAGATAAGACTTGTACACGACTAACCAAACAACAAAGAAAGCATAAAACTAGTGTATTTGGCAAAATAAAAAGCTATCCTAGAACTTTAAACATCATGGGTCTTGCCAATCCTCTGGTTGCTGAACTATCATCAAGGATGATGTGGCGGCTAGCTGTTGGAATTTCATTGGAGAGCAGATGCCGAGTGGGCCTCCTGACCATACCCAGTCAGCAAGGAGATGGTTTGCTCCTTCACTTGGGTTATAGCCATCCCACCAAACATGGGTTGAAGGGTCTTCACACATGGGCTCTTTAGCCCCACATTCATCCCATCCCCCATAATTTTCGACCCCACAACATGCCTTGTTTACAATTTTAAATCCTGCCAAAAAACAAAAAAGTTATGGTGATAACATATAACATTTATTCATATTATGAGCACTGTTAAGAGAGAATGTACCCCATAAAAAATGATAACAAAGATCAAGTTTTGAGTACACTATCCTGTGCAGCTACTTAGTGTTTGACAAATTTTGAGGGTTCTCTCTTTGGGACCTATTTACTGAGTCCCATAGGTGAGATATGACCCCATTATCATTGTTTCCTTAGTTTCAAACCTGACTCTTATGGTCATCTTTGGGGACTGCTGGCTCTGATTTGCATATTTGTTGGACTCAGTGTTTTCATTGTTAGTGAACAGTTGGGTTATTTGGTATATGTATGTAAAGAGGTTGTGGGCAAATACTGGGGACTGCCCAACTTTTGCTCTGGCTCCATACCAAATCGGTGAGGCCTTTGTAGAAAAGATTATTCTGCATGGATCTAGGGCATTCAATGTGTGCAAATATAGTGTCATACACGTGAGAAAATCTTTATAAAGTGCCACTACTATTTCAAGAGAGGATTTGACTTAATGTATGTAGAAAGAAGAATTTAATTGAACTCATCAAAGATGTAGTGAACTCATAAATGAAGTCTGAAATGATGCAGTGTGGGGATGCCATGAATTAAGCAGAGTACAATGGTGAGAATTCCAGACATTCTATCTCATTGGAGGACTCCTCTGTGTATTGAACACCAGTATGAAGTCATGACGTTGGTAATAGAGTAAACTAAGCTTAAGCTTGAGAAAGAAAAAGAAAATCAATTTTTTTACATTCACATACATATTTGCACATATGAATAAGTTCCCTATCCTTTTGTTAGAAGAAGTAGGATTTCAAGTAACTCACCATAGGGTTGTGGATTCGAGATCATCTTCATGAGTCCTTTATAGACATCGCAGAAGGTGATGCGCAAATGTGGCAATTCGGAGCTTAGGTTCTTCAAGGCTAATGATAGAGCAGTGTTGTACTCTTGTATCATGTCATTCAGTTGGTCCTCACATTTGATGCCTCCATTCGTGGAGTTGATAGAGTCTGGATCAGACTCTGATAGGAATCGAGGGGCACAGCCAAGAGGCCCGATTCCCGCCACGATGATTTTCCTCACATTTGCGTGGTATAGATCCTGAGAGAGAGAGAGATGAAGTGAAGGATTCAATGCAAGAAACTATTTTAAGAATGAAGAATGCTGGTCTTTTTTATATTATGTCACTGTGAACATGAACAATCTAGAGAGAGAGAGAGAGAGAGAGAGAGAGACATGAAAGACACAATATGAAAGATCTTTTGAAGAATGAAGAGTGCTAGTCCTATCATGTGAATGGAAGTATTTTTTTTTGAGAAAGTGTGAATGGAAAATTGTTTATCCTCTGACTTTTAGCTTCTGTTTTTATTTTTCTTTCTCAAATATAGTCGGTCTGGCACAGGAATCTCCCAGGTCGGATGTATTGAATCAGAAACAGGAATAGTAGAGAGAGAGAGAGAGGAAAATAAGGAAGAATCGAGTCAAGACACACACAACACCCATTTCTATTATCTATTTCGAAATACTAGGCATGAATGATCTTTGGTGTGTCAATATATGACAATTTGAAGGTTTTTGATATAATTATGTTTTATTTAGCATATTTTAGCTAGAAAATATTTAACTAATTTAAAGGAAGAAACTGTTGTCCAAGAGGAATGACGAGGAATTTTAATGATGCATCTGCCAACAATATGATATATTTGTGTCATAGCATAAATCCCGTTATATAGGGTTCTAAATCCATTTGTCTAGGGTTCTAAAAACCTCCAGTTTGATTTAGAATCGCCCGAGTCAAAAAGGGATCCATACTCAAGTTGAGTTTCTTCCTGAATCGGGGGTCAGATCTAGGGATCTCTAAATAACATAAAAAAGAGTCATCATATTAAGAAGGTTTGAAGTTCTGCAACCTTGTATAAACATTTTAAACCCTTTAAATTTTTTTGTCTGATTGAGTGAATGAGTTGACTTGGCCGGTTAGACCCTTTGTGTACGATATACTCATTTGAATTCTTAAAGGAAAAATATACAAAGAGATCATTTATTTTTAGTGAAAGGAGGTTACAATTATTATTGTCCATCAGATTTGAAATCGGGTGATAGTGATTATAATTTTTTTTTTCGATCTCACCCAAGCCATTTAATTTTTAGCAATTGTGACATAAGTCATAACATACTATCCCATTTTTAAAACACTGCTTACTCAAATATCTCCGAGTAGATGATTGTTCTCCCTGTAATGACCAAAATAGCCCCATTCTGGAATTTTCAAAAGTCCTAAAATACCCTTCCCTCAATAATGACCTAAATGCCTTTGATTCAGCAAAATACCAACCGTCAAAAGAATTTCTCTCGGGTTGCTATGAGCCAGCCGACTCATATTGTCTATATGCGGCCCCCTCTCAAATCTATCTTAAAGACGAAGTTTTAATCTAATATTGTAGGGATTCATGGTCTAGGCTAAGATGATCATGAATACGATAAAATAAAATGAACCTTCATAGTTATTTTAGGCCGGTGCATTTTTTAATGTCCATCGTTTTAAAATAATGACTAAAATACCCTAATTGATGTCGGCATACCTTCATGGCTCGGGTCACCTCACCAACCAAAATGTGGGCAAATTCTGGGTGCCTTGATCCTGCGACATAAATATCAGGATAGTAGAGGTCGGTGTAGTCGTGGGCTCCCATGGAGAGGTAGAAAATGGAGGAGGAGATGAGGCGGCGGGCCCTTCGGCGGCCGAGGGCAAGATCGAAATTCTGGAGGGTATTGAGAGCATAACGTATCTGCTGTTTCAGACTGACATAGTCGAGGTCGCCGGAAGTGAGGATGGTGGCAGAGGGGACGCCAAAGTTCAGACCCTGCATTGCCCTCCCCACATTCTCGCTTTGGCCGGAGAACGGTGGGACTGGCCGGAGAGCCAACTTCTTGGCTGAGAGAGAGAGATAGAAGAGAGATGGTTTTAGTGAATTAAAGAGAGTTAGAGAACACAGATGGTTTTATTGAATGAATGAGAGAGTGAGAGAGATGACTTTAGTGAATGAGAGAGATGGTTTTAGTGAAGGGTGCAGTTGGTATACGGATGCGTAGGTGTAAAGGTAAGGTGCACCTTCAAATTTTATCATTGTGTATAATTTTGATGTAAAATGTTTTTAGGATTATCTCAAAATCTATTTTTATATCTAATTATAAAATTTAAAAATTTAAAGATAGTTAAAATCAAGTAGATCTATAAACATATGAAAATCTTGAAAATGTACGGTGTAGATAATATGTTGTAAAATACACTATTTTTGAGATTTAAAATCTTTTTATTTTTCATGGTCATACATCTCGATGTCCGGATGATCAATCATTAAAACTCCTTTTTCCAATGGATTTTTGAGATGCATCCGTAATTCTACGTTATAATGTTGCATCCTTATATAAACTTTTTACACTCAGTGAATGAATGAGAGAGAGATGTCAATGAATGAATGGAAGAAGATCAAGAGAGAGAATGAATAGTCCTAATGTATCAGCAGGTGAGTGGAGAGAGATAAAAAGAGGTCAATCCATGAATGGATGAAGATCAAAGAGGGAGAATAGTCCTTATGTATCAGCAGGTGAGTGAAAAGAGATCAGAATTCAGAAGCTTATAAAAAATACTTGCAACAGAAGATTGAAAAGAAAGCTCAAAACCCCATTCTTTATCTTCCTTACTCTTTTCTTTTCACTAAGATCTTTCTGATTTTCACTCTTTTGTGAACCAAACCAAGATTTCACAAAGAAACCAAAAGAGAAAATAGAGAGAGAGAGAGCAAGAAACCTAAAGGGACAATAAGAGAAAGAGAGAGATACCGAGAAGATCAGGGACAAGAGTGGTGTTGCAGAGAAGTAAAAAGGAGGTATCGACCAAAGAGAAAGGAAGGCTGGGGAAGAAGAGGTTGTTGCCACAATTTACAGAGGAATCTCCCAAAATGAACAAACCACTCACTGGCAAATGACCATTGCTCCTCCCCATGCTTTCAAATGCTATCAACAAAATCAACACAACACGGACTCCTCCAAACCATCTCCTCAACAAATTCCCCATCTTCCCTCTCTCTCAAGAAATCTTTCTTCCAATTTTCTTGGTTAACTTTGTCTGGGGTTTTCTTGGTTTATATGCTCTGTTTCTCTCCCTCTGGTTTTTCCCTTTCTTCCCCTTGGAAATGAACCTTACAAAGAGAGAGAGAGAGAGAGAGAGAGAGAGAGAGAGAGAGAGAGAGAGAGAGAGAGAGAGAGTAGTAGTTAGTTTAGTTAGTTAGTTAGTAATAAGTAATAAGTAGTAGAGAGAGAGAGAGTAGTAGTAGTTAGTTAGTTAGTAGTAGTAGTAGTAGTAAGTAAGTAAGTAGTAGTAGAGAG